CCATCCTCACCACAGCCACTCTTTATTTTTAAACTCAGGCTGATAAGCCATGAGCTGACTATTGTATGCTGGGAATGGAATTCTTTTCAGAGATAACACTGCCACTCTTATTTTATCATCCCCATCATCATTACTGCCATAAAGGCACTGCATCCAAGGGATTAATTAGCCTCTGGGAAAACCTGGCCTGGGGCTGATCCCTGACACCACAGGGATAAACAGAAAAGGGGGCTTTTGGGGAAACGCCAAGCTAAGCCAAGCACAGGCTGTGGCTTTCTTTCTACTGTACTATCACCTGCCCATTTTTCTTACTCATCTTACTCCTTATCTTCAGTTTAAGATAACTTAAAATGACAATCTTCACTCCAGTTTTGCCAATGAAGGAGTCACCTTCATTCTTTCTCTCCATCCTTTAGGGAAATAATTACCTCATAGATTTCCTTTCGTCCTAAGGTCCCTTCTGACTATCTACTTCCATACTAGCAAATGCTCTCAGCCTAGGAGCCACAACTGCTGGATTCCACTTGTGTGCCAGAGCTGCTCAGGCCTCTGGGCCTCAGTTTCCTCATCTGCTGAAAGAGGGACTACATTAGAAGATGTGGGAACCAAAGCCCCAAGTCCTTCTGAACGCTGTAAGAGGCCTGAAGAAACTTCGCGTTATACTTACAGTGCCACCTACTGACAATTTCTGGAAGTGCTTCCTGTTTTTAGCAATTCTGAACCTTCAGTGATTGATAGCTAAACAGGCAAATAGTTGAGATCAGAGAGGAAGGAAGCCAGGGAAAAAGCCAGCTCTGACTTCATAAGTGCCCACAGGTGATAAGAAAACAAAGGTTAAAAAGGCAGTAATATTTACTACGTGCTTAACACACATTTTAAGTGCTTTACTCAGACTAAGTTACGTAGTCTTTTCAATGCTTACAGAAGGCACCCTGCTATGACTGCCCCCAGTTCACAGATGAGGTATTCAAGGCACTGAATGGTTACACAATAGTTACAGTGAATAAGCAAGTAGACTTCAAGCCCACAACCAGAGCCAGCACCCTGCCACACTGCCTGGATCCACAGTTTCCCCTCTGTCCACTGAAACACCCCACCCTATTGCCTACCTCCAACAATCTCTCTCTTTTGCCTTGACCCTGGGTTGGCTCATTCCTCAAGAGGCAGACATTGCTGATTAACTAAAATGCAGAGAAATCTCATTCTGGCTAAAATGGTAGAGGAAAAAGCCTTCCATTCAAGTTCCGTGGAACCTAGCCTGGTTCAATCTCTACATGACAGGGCATGGGCCCCCACCACACAGGAGAGGCCGGCCCTGCAGCACTCATCTGGAGCAGGCCCCACACCACGCCTGGAGCTCCCTCTCCGCTACGCGTGGCCAGTCTTTCTGAGTTCTCCACCTCCTGCCATCCTCCCACGGGAGCTCTCTGTTCCAGCACATCTAGGCCATACTAGTTCTAGTGGCTCCAGGTGTGTTGCTCGTCTTGCTGACACTAATGGCAGGATTCCCAGGGGCTTGGGGCTAAGGGAATCTACTTCCAATACTTCCCTGATGCTAAGCACACAGCCAGACTCCGAGTGTCAGGGTGGGAAGGGCGCTCCTCCCATCACCTTCTCCAGGTACAGCTTACCTGGAGAGAAGAGCCTTACCTGTTTGTCTGGCAGACCCCATGATAGGCCTCGATGGCATCTTCTGGATCCACATGCTTTTCACTGTTAGGCCAGCTTGTTCTAGCATTAATGTTCGGCTCCTAGAAGGCCCCAGATGAAAAAAATAAATAATCTTGGCTATGAACAACTGCCATGATAATTTGGGAAAAGACAAAGACCTAGAAAGATTCAGATAACTGCAGTCAAACACGGAGGAAATGTGATTTCAAAAGGTCACCTTAGAAGGGACACAGAATGGCAAATCCTGGCTGAGAAACACAAAGTGCAAGCAATGGAGGAAATGGCATAGGCAGCATCCTTGGAAAGAGAAAGTACACCTGCCCAGTGGGCAGGGTTACATTCTGGCTCAGGGTTAAATCCTCCACTTTCATTCCCATCTCCTTACCGCAGGCCCAAGCTTCCCCAGAGACCATACCCAGAAGTGGCCCAGATTAATAGAGCCAACGGAGTGACCCATGTGGCTTCTGTCTCCTCCTGCTTCTCTTCTATAATCTATCCCAGGAGGTGAGAACTTTAAGGACAAACACCATGACATGCCACCATGGGAGCGCTAAGACAGAACATTTCTCTCACTTAGAAACTGCTAAAGGCATGATGTAAAAACACATGGACACCACAGGTTATATATCTAATTATTCGTTTTGTTCTTTCTGAAAATTTTAGCAAATTCAGAAGATTCTGGAAACTTCTAGCTCCATTTTTTCAAGAAAGATCATGGTCAGAGTAGCAAGTCCCTTATGTTGCCATTTGAGGAGATCCAGAGTGAGATTCTGCTCTCTCAGGTTTAAGACCATTATGGGTAAAATACCTAAGACAATGCAAGTTTATTACCCAGAGTCACCCCCAGAGAAACCCAGTCATAGCGGCCATCTTATTACCGTGCTTTTGCCAGCAAGTCGGTGCTGGTCAGCATTCACAATCTGGGTCCTGAGAATGAGCACCTCCTCCTTGCGGACCTCGAGCTCCTCATTGGCTAGCTTGAGCTGGTTCAGCAGGAGGCTGTAACTGTCTGGGGAACTGTGAGGAGAGTTGTTCTGTGTGGCTTGGTCAGCCACAGCTTTCCTCAGCTCGTTTAGGTCATTTTTCAGCTTCTTATTCTCCGATTCCAGCTCCTGTCTCTGGAAGACAGGCCAAGTGACAACCTTTTCACACCCTTAGATGGTCTTCTTACCTGCCTTAACCAACTCAACATGGCTAAAAATGTGACAAGTGGGCAAGGCCTGTACATTTGTTGCAGAATCACAGGATAACAGAACCAGGACTACTGGGTCTAATCTCTATTTTTTTGAATGGGAAAATGGAGTCTAGCAAGGGCAAGGCTGACAAAAAATTTAAAGGCTAATCCTGGGAAAGGGGCACCTTCTGACCCAGGGTCTTTCTTATCACTGCAACATATATGCGAAAGATTCCTGAGGCAATCTAGAGCCATGCGTGGAGAGAGGGATTCTGTAGATAGGAAGCAGGCTCTGGGGTAAGGTGACTAATCTTTAATGATTATTGATGAATTCATCCAGCCTATAGTGAGTCTATTTATTAAGTTCAGGAGAATTCACTCAAGGCCCGAGTGATTTTCCTGCTAGCAGCAGAGTGCTATTCTCAGGAGTCAGCCTCACAAGATAGAGGAATGGCAGAGTTGGAGCACAAGTCCCAGTCCTCTTCACGCCTGGCTGAAGGTATAATCGGCACACCCCTGGGCCTCAGCCTCAGGTCCAGGGGTGCTTTAAGGGAACAACAGCAGACAGTGGCTAAAGTTTCCTCAGTTCTGATTGGCCCAGAGTGCTCTAGGGCAGGAGCTGTAGGCTGGCTGTCTGGGTTATAGCCCTTGCAAGTTCCCACTCAGGAGCTCTTGCTCCAAGATAAAGAGGGTCAGCCTGAGGGAGAGCTCCAGCTGTTTGTCACAGAGATTCCCACCCGGGGCACACCTGAGAAGTATCTAGTCTATACCCCACTGTCGCTAGATACTGTCTACCTTAACGCCACCACCTCTGCTCTGCTGCCCACCTGGCTTACCACTTCCACATCATTCTACCCAGCCAAATGGTGCCAGAAAAGTTGACGTGGGCTTCACTGTGGTACCAAAACAAAAAAAGCATGAAATTTCCCATTTCAACTATTTTGAGCTATACCGTCAGGAGCATTAAGCACATTCATGCTTGGCACAACCATGTGCCAGTCTAGCACTCCTTCGCCTTCCCCAGCTGAAACTGTTCCCATTAAAAACCAACTCCCCATCTCCACTCCCTGGGCCCCAGCAATCACCACCTCTCACTCTCCGTGTTTGACTTACTTCTCTAGGTACCCATAAGTGGAGTTGGGTAGTATTTAGGTGAAAGACGTTTCTTATGTACCCAAATGTCATGTCATTTCCTTGGAGAACAATGCAGTTCCACTGCTTTATCCTTCTCTTTTACTAGACAATATAGCTCAGTCCTAGGGACATAGTACCTGCATAGAGCCTAAGATTACAACAAGGTACATATCACTGCAATGCAATTGGGAATGTACTGTAAACCAGGGGTCACAGGAGGTCTCCACCTGCAGAGTCTTAGAGGTAAGAGCAGGTTTCCGGGAGGAGATCTGAATCTGACAGTTAGGGGTCAGCATCAGTTAGCCAGGTGAGATTTCCAGACAAAAACCCCAAGAGAAAGAGAAGGGCCAGGGCCTGCTGAGGAAACACTGTGCAGAGCAGAGTGGGAAGGAGTTGCGAGGTGGTGGCAAGGGCTGTGAAAAATGAGGGGAGAGCAGGACTCAGGAGCTTGTAGTGCAGGGCAGAGGCAAGAGCAACGTGGCACAGGCTGTGGCAGGGGCCAGAGTGGGACAGAGATGTGCCCCAGGCAGGAGGTACAACTGTCAGGACTTGACAACAGGGCATGGGAAGTAAAGAGAAGGATGTCTGGGCCATATGGATACCATCTACTGAGACCAGTAAGCCCATGAAGGGCTCTGCAGTTCAGGCACATCTGACTGTGGTCCCCATAAGTCAGAATTATGTCTAGGATTCTGACTAGAGGTGGCTGCAGATGGGTCAAGCAGGGTGTGGATCAAGGACACAATCTGAGAGGGTATGTGAGGGTGGAGAAGGGCTGAATAATTTGGGGAAAGGATGCTGAGAGCAGGTCGACGGTGGGATGCTATCACCCTGCGCTCCTGGTTTCCCTTCTCTGAGCAGCTCTGTGGCCTGTTCCTGGGCATCTCTGAATCCAGTGGGTATACTGGATGGACACTGCCTGCAGAGGCTTCCAGCATCTATTTCTCTTCATTTTAATGCATCTCTGGAGAACACTTTATAAAAGTGTCCACTGCAAAGCAGGCCATATTTCACATGAGAAGAGTGTTAACATGGGAGGGTGTGCAATTTCAAGTATGGGATAAATGCCCCTTTTTGTTTGGTTGTTTGGGGGAGGAATGCCAAGTTTCAGACTGGCCTTGAAGTTGCAATTCTTCTGCCTTAGCAGCCCAAGTAGCATCATGTCACTGCACCCAACTGATATATACAATCAAAACCATCCTGCAACACTCTAACTTTGGAATGTTTTGAACCAGTAAAACCGATCCATGTTCCATAAATAAGCTAAAGCTGTACAATCAGCGCTGTCTCACGAATCTAGCCTGAACAGTGATTGATGTAGTTTATTTTCCTGAAATGCTAAAGTTTTAATGGAATAATTATGGCTGACTTAGCTCTTTTAAAAAGCAAGCAAAAAAAGGCCTAGTTTTACCACAATGTACTTATAACAGTACAACAGAGTAATTAATATGTTTGTCAATTAAGAGAGTGCTTAAGAAAATTGTAATCATGTAATAAAATTTTAAGCAACCATGAAAAATCATATTTTCAAAGAGATTAAGAAGAAAAATCCTCGTTAGGTTAAGTAAAAAAAGCAAAATATGAAGTTCCGTCTATCAGCTATCTTAATAATGCGGTCATTAAGCTTAACTGTGTTAATCTGATTAGCTTGGGAGCTGCTGTGGTGATTAATAAACTGCTCCTGGATGTGTCTGGTGGGGCATGGAAGTGTGAGCTTGGAGATTCTGTCCGACACCCCTGACCTACATCTCACACCCTCTTCTTCTCTGGCCTCTTTGCTCGGCAGAACTCTCCACCATGATGGCTTCCCTTGCAGCCAGCTGACAACACATGGACTGAATCCTCTGAAACCATGAACCAAATTAAACTTACCCTCCTTTAAGTTGCAGGTATTGAGTACTATGTTCTGGTGACAGGAAAGCTAACTGACACAAATAATATGCATAAAAAAGCTTTCAAATACCCAAATAGTATCAGAGGATGCCTCCGAGAGGAAGCTGCTGACTGCTCTGAGCAGGTCCATCCTCTTCCCAGCAAGCTCCCAGGTCAGCAGGAAATAGCTCCTTTGGGACTCCTGGCCTCTCCCTCACTTTGTGTTTGCCCTGAAGGATAGCAAGCTTCTCCCCTCCCTGGTTCCACATCTACCCTGTCTTCTCTAACCACCTCTGCTGCCCACTGTCCCCTGCCTTGATGCCTTGGCCCAGGTGAGGCCTAGTTGACATCGCTTCTCCCAGTCGGGCCACATTCCTTCAGGCTATCTTGGGCAATGCTGAGGACCTTCCTCTTGACATCACCTCCAGAAGGCAGCATACACAGGCCTGCATGTAGCACCCAAAAGAGATGCCTCTGCCCAGAGCAGAGGGGGGTTACTTTGTACATTCTGGAAGAATCTGGCAAAATAGCTAAATTTCTGGTAGGGCATACCTAAGGTTTGATCAAAATTTACTACGCACTGAGGGGTCCTCCCAGTGTAGCCTTATCTTATAAATGCACAAGTGGCAGGTTTCTCAAGTATCTTATGAAGCAAATAAATTTAAGCAAAATTAAAGAAAAACATCTAATAAAGTTCCCTTCCCGTTCATAGACCATTGGTATATTTCTGGTTGTTTAAAAGTCTAAAAGGTGCTAACAAACTGGATTTCCACATGCAAAAATATGAAGCTGGACCCTTACCTCACACCACATATGAAGATTGACTCAAAATGGACCAAAGACATAAATGTAAGACCTAAAACTATAATATTCTTAAAGGAAAATACAGAGTGAAATGTTCATCACTTGAGATTTAGTGATGATGGCTTAGCTCTGATACCAAAGGCACACGCAACAAAAGAAAAACAGGACTTTAGAGGGAAGTGAAAGTTCTTGAAAACACATTTTCAACAGCAGGGGCATATGTGGTGGTATTTATTTTTAATCCCTGGTGCCTGTGAGGCTGAGACAGGAGGATAACAAGTTAGAAATCCTGGTTGACTTAGGGAGACCCTGTAGCTTAGTGCTGTCACACCTGCCTAGTGTGCCTGAGGCCCTGGGTTCAATCCTCATTCCCCCGCCCCCTGCATTATCAGAATATAAAGGCAGCCCATAGAATGAGAGAAAATATTTACAATTCTCATATTGTATAGGGGGCCTTTGGATGTAATGCAAGTGTACAGTATTTGCGTACCATGCATAAGGCTCTGGGTCCAATTCCCAGCAGAACAAAGTCAAAACTGGCAAGGTATCAATATCCAGAAAAATACAGGGAACTTCCAAAACCCAACAATAGAAAAACTGACTCAAAAATGAACAAAGAAAGCCATGCTGTTAAGTTGAGCTGTGGGGGACTCAGGTCAATAATTTCTGACATTGCCAGTTAAACAGAAGACCCAATGCTATTATGGGCTACTAGACTCTTTTAGAATATTTTGCTGAGTTTACACACCTATAATATTCAATAACGGAACTTAGAAAAATGGGGTATACAGATGAATGTCCATTTTGTATCTGTGTATTCAAAGTGGTTGGGATAGATATATAGTTGCATTCTGTTAATGAATAGAATGATTTGTTCTAATGGTGTTTGTAAATAGGATCACAAGTCCGCATCTTGTACAGCAATTAACCACTAAGAAGAATATATGCAGTGTATTAGTTGTTGAAAAATAAAAAAAAAATAAATAAAAATGAAGAACTTGAGTAGACATTTCCCTAAAGAGTATGCAAATGGTCAATGTGTATATTTAAAAAATGCTCAAAATTAGTAATTACTACAGAAACAAAACTAAAATGAGATACATCCTTATACCCACTGAGAGATTTCTTATCAAAAAAAAAAGTTAACAAAACAAAAAAAGTTGAAGGGTGTGGAGAAATTTTGTCATTGTTGGTAGAAATGTGAAAGGTTGCAGTCACTATGGAAAACAGTATAGTGGTTTCTCAAAATGTTAAAAATAGAACTGTCATATAATCCAACAATTGCACCTCTGGGTACATCCTCAAAACAATTGAAAGCAGGGTCTTGAAGCAACAGCTAAAATATGGCGCAACCCAAGTTCTACTAGTGGATATACAGGTAAGCAAAATGTGGTCTATACAACAGAATTATTCCCTAAAAAGAAAGCGAATTCTGACAGGCTGCTACATTGATAACCCTCAAAGACATCAGGCTAAATGAAACAAGCTGATGATGAAGAGAACATACTGTGTGATGCAACTTGTGCAAGGCATCCAGGTAGTCAAACTGACAAAGAAGTACAGAACATTGGCTATCAGGCCTCAGGAGAGGGAGGAGTGGGGAGCTGTTGTTTAGGGGACTTGTCTCAGTTTTGCAAAATGAAGAGTTAGAGATGGACAACGGAAAGATGCTTGCATAATATTATGAAAGAATTTAACACCCCCAAAGTGTAATCTTAAAAATATATTGTACACATTATGTTATATGTATTTTATATCATGCTAAGCAACTTTTTGAGGGGAAAAAAGTTTTTTCCTGGGCCATGTGGCCATTAACAGAATTATCTGTACTGCTACAAGTGGCTAGCAGATTGGATCCATTGCTACCTCACCAAGTCTTTGGAAATGGGGACAGCGGGTGGGACTGGTGGGTACGCCTTTCTATACACTCTTCCCTACCCTGAAGCTCCTTAATCCTTGGACTTGAGGTCTCCACCATCCTACCTTGCTATCTCGGCCAGGCCAACACTGAGGCACAGCTGACAGCCCTCTGCTTTACACCTGTCACTGCCAGGCTGGATTTTTTTTTTTTTTTTCAAAGTGCAATTTTATTTGAGTGTCCACATTTTACTTTAGCCAGAGCCAAATCAGGTAGGTAAGGAATGTATTACCATCCCTTGGGAGTAAATGCAGATTTTTCTCTCATTTCAAAGATGATGAAGTCTTTGTGAAAATGCAAATCTTCCAAAGTATGAAAAGAACTTATTTGTTGATGTTTCTACTTACTACCTACAGTTTAGGATCTAAATTTTTCTTTCTTTCTTTTTTTTTTAAACCTAGGGAAGTTTTGTATAGTTTATTTATTCATTTATTTTTGTATTTTATGGAAGGGTCTACAGGGTGTTCAGGATCTCACTACTAGATTGGACTCAGTGATCTGCCTGTTTACAGCCTCCTAAGAGCTGGGATTACAGGCACACACCACCATGTTCAGCCTCAAGTGCCATCTCAGCACGCTCCTGGGGTAAGGTCAGCATGGCACGCCTGTGGATCAAACCCCAAACCCCCAGCCCCTGCACCTGCTTGCAGGCACTTTAATCCATTGAGCTATTTGGCTGGCCCTAGCACCTAATTTTCTGATGCCCAACTTTCTTATCTTTTCTCTATTGCCATACACATAGCCTTACCTTCAGACTGTTGTAGGCCAGATCTGAGTCCTGGTCCAAGCCTATGTCATACTTTGGTTGTTCCATCTGCACAGGTAAAGAGACAGAAAAGCATGTATTGCACAGAACTATTTCGGACAATGGTCAAACACGCTTCTTCTGCTTTTGTATAAACACTTGGCACCTTCAGCCGCTACAAGTGCATTTCTGTCCCTTTCAAACCATAGCTAAATACTCAGGCTGCCACAAAGTTGTCCACAAAGAACTCTTTCCGGTCCCCATTTTATTCATGTGGTCCCCACAGGCTTACAATCTGTTTATGTTACACTGTGTTATAGGTTGAATTGTGGCCCCTCATGATATTCAGAAGTCTTAATCTCTCTCAATCTGTGAATCTTATCTGGAAATGGAGTCTCTGTACATGCAGTCAAGTCAAGTAGTTAGTATGGGCTCTAATTGCATAGGTACCTTCATAAGAAAGGACATACACACAGGAAAGAAGGGCATGTATAGATAGAGCCAGGAATTTGAGTCACATAGGTGCAAATCAAAGAACACCAGGGTTCTTGTACAGCAATTAACCACTAGGAAGAATGTATGCAATGTGTTAATTATTGAAACTGTCCTACCAATTTGATTTGAAACTATCTCATTGCTATTTCTCAATAAAATTATGGAAAAAAATAAAAAATAAAAATAAAAAATGAAAAAAAGAATAAAACAAAACAAAACAAAAAAAAACAAAGAACACCAGGGATTGCCAAAAGCAAAGGAAGCCAGAGAAAAGGCACAGGACAAATTCTACCCCAAAGCCTGGCTTTATCAACACCTTGATTTCTGGATTCTAGAATTATGACAGAATAAACCTTAGTTGCTTTAAGGCATAAATTTGTGGCCCTTTGTTTCAGCAGCCTTAGGATGCTAATGCACATTGTAAAGCTTAAGGATCTATTAATGAGGTTAACAAGCTGCACTTGAATTTGGGAGGAGGGTTATTCCTGTGTATTCTCTTTTTTTTGGTACAGGGTCTCACTACACAGCTTGGACTCGTAGTGATCCTCCAATTTTCAATCTCCCAGCAGTGGGATTACAGGTGTGCGCCACCATGCCTAGTCTCAGCTCAGTGTGCCTGGGGGTGAGGCTGGCACAGCGTGTGGTGCTGGGAATTGAATCCCCGGTCCCTGTGCTTGCCTAAGTAGGCACTTAGTCTGCTGAGCTATCTCACCAGCCCTCTCCTGTGTATTCATCTTCTCAGATAAACTCAAACCACTTTGCACAGGAGCGGTCTCCTCTGTGACAATCTACAATTGGTAGCAGGAGAGCTGGTGCACAATACATGCTCAGGACACATAGCTTGACTTTTGAACTCCAAAGCTAGTAGCTGCAGGTAGTAATGGTCAGAAAAATAGTCCATCAGGACTCAGCTGTGCCAAGTGTACCTATCAGTACTTGCAGCCAGCAGACTTGGACTGCCCCAGGCAAAGGGGTAGAAAGCACTTTTTATAATTGCCTTCTTGCTTGGGTTTGAGTTCAAGTAGTCTTTGAGGTATTCCTGAAGATGGGTGTTTAGTGCTAAAAACTGACAGGACTTAGGAAGATTACCCACAGTGCTTACCACCTCAAGTCCAGGTGGGGCCATCATGAGCTGTGAATGGATAAAGGTTGCCCTAGCCTTACGAGATAGTGTAGGACCCAAGCATGTCCCATTGCCCCTTCCAGATGAAGGGTGCTACACCCACTGCACTGTTTCTAGCCCCGAGCTCAGGAAAGACTCCACCAAGAGCTTCAACCTTGTTGCTCACCATCACCCATGGTACAGGGTATGTAAACACCCAGGGTCAGCACTCTGTCTGCTGCCGAGGCAGGGGGCCTGTACCCATGCTCTGTGTAACAGACTTGCTGCATGACCACATGTAATGCCATGTAAATACACTAGGTTTTCAGAAAATAGGAATTACCAACTCAAACTCAAGGGGCTGCATACTAAGATGGGCTGGCAGTCCTGTTTTCAGCCATGTAGCCCTTGTGGCCAAAGTGACTGCCAGGATTGAGAAAGGGAACCGGATGGATGGGAGGTCAAGAACTGACAGCCGACTTGTTACACAGGTCCCACTCTCCCAGGGGCTGTTATTCCCCCACTGATAGTATATTCCATAAACTTCCCTGCCATTTCCCATTCAGTGTATGACTTCTTTCTAGGGGTGGGACCTAGGGCCATACTGCTCCAGAGTAAAGACCCAGGAAGCTCAGGATTCTTTTAGAGCTAAGTGCAGATCCATGAATTTGAACCTTTGCAGCTTAGTCTCAGGATTTTATGCTGTCCACTGTCCCGCCCCTGTCTTTAGTAAAAGTTCCATAGCCATGATTCCAACATTGACATTCCTGTAATGGGGAATGAACCCAGAGAATGAATGTTTAGGTGCAGCAAGGTGGGCTAGGAACTTTTATGTCAGACATTATCTACTGCATGTGTGTAGTTCAGGTTGGCCTTGGACTCACTGGATAGCCTAGACTGACCTTGAACTCTCGATGATTCTCCTGCCTTGACCTCCCAAGTGCTGTGATTATGGGTGTGCACTATCACGCCCAGCACTGTGCAGGTTTTCACATGCAGATGGTCTCTGGCTTACTACAGTTGACAGAAGTCTTTCAACTTTATGATGGTAGAAAAGCAACATATGCTCAGTAAAAACTTTATTCAAATTGTGAACATCAATCTTTCCCCAAGTAAGCAACACATGGTATGACTTCTTTGGTGGTGCCAGGCAGAGGCCAGCCATAGCTCCTAGTACACTCATTATAAGGGTAAACAACCAAAAGCCTACAATGTGCCTTGTTGCTAAGCTCGGATGCTCAGAAGGTGACATGCATTAAATGCATTTTGCACTTACGATGTCTTCAACTTACGGCGGGTTTATCAGGACATAACCTACTGTAGGCCCAGGAGCACCTGTATGGCATTTGATGTCCACTTGCCTGTCAGGGTGGCTTCCCTTACGATAGAATGAGAGTCATTTATAGACCTAATCTTTTCACTTCTCATTCTGAATCTAATTCACCTTAGAGATTTAATTCCAACAATAGGATTTACCTCTCCACTTACTACTTGAAGAAAAACCCCAGCAAGATTTGATAGCAGTGCAGACCAGTGTCTGCACAGCATTTGATTGTAGAGGGAAGATGGGTGTTGCAAAAGTAGAGTACACAAAGCAGTAGGAATGGGGTGCGCTACAGATTTGAGGAGGCTTCAAATCCCACAATCACAATTCAGACCTGGGAACAGACCAAAGGCCTTTATCAAACCCATTATGAAGCCAGCTAATGATATGACCTGTGTCAGAAATGGACCTGCACTCAGAAGAAGTGGTCCAAGGACAGCAAAGTGGCTCTTGCTACTCACTGCCTTTTACTAAGTAGTTAGCTACTATATGCAATGGGTTCTCTACTGCTATTGCAAGATGCACATTTGTGGCTTCTCAGTGCAAAAGCCTCTGCCACTGGGGGCCTCTGAGGAGTGTGCTCCTGTCCCTCTGGATTAGGACACTGACAGACTCAATGTGACTCCAACACAGATGGAAAGTGCTCAGAAACTCAGCACCAGCATGATCCCAGGGGGTCATGTGAGCCCTGGTGGCCATGGGCTGGACTGCTATCTCACCCTGGCACCACAAGGGTGCCTCGCCATGTCACGCACCTGGCCTTTTTTGCTCTCCTGCTGCTCTCTCTTCTCCAGCTGCACCTGCAGCTTCTTCCGCTCCTGTTCAAGCTCCCGCACTCTCTTCTGTAGCTTCAGGAAGACTGTCATGTCCATGGCTGCCTTCTCCACACCAATCTCCTGCAAAAGAAGAGAAAAGCAGGGAGAAGAAGCTGCCAGAGCCCCAACAGCTGGGGGAGCACACAGCACCTGCTGTCTACCTCCACGTCAGCCATCTGGCTCCTCACTCCTCCCAAACATCGATCTGCTCCTCAAATACAAAGCCCCTGCCAACCAACTACAGCATTTCTTATATTAGAGCTGTGACTCCAGGCTCATCTTCTGTCTGATAGCATCTGAGTTACAGCCACACAAAATGACCAATCATGTATTATAAGGACAAAAAGATACAGACATAGCTATTTGCTTTGAAAGCAAAGTGTTCACTTCTGTAAAATGGCTTTATATTTTAGAAATTGTAAAACCCAGGATTTAACTCTCCTTGATGAAGAATCAATGTAGTTATTAATCACTGTATATGTGCTGTCAACCACTTGATTGTACCTTGAAAGAGAATAGCAGCCCCGCCACAGAGCCCATCCACCACCCAGAGCTCAAAGCACCAATTTCCCACTGGATTTTTTCCCTTCTGAGTCATGCATGAATTTATTCTCCAGGGTTCTGCAGTGTGTTGGGTGTGTGCACAAACACATTTGTCTGTGAAAGGGTAATGTGCGCAAACATATCAACATAGACTGCCATAAAGTACACATATGTACATGTGCGACAATATGACGTGGTTCTACTGGCATTTAATCAGTGCTTCATGCTTCACCAGTGCTAGATCAGTCTGTTACCATGAAGGACACAGACCTGGAGACAGGAGTGCTTACATGTGTGTGGAACAAGGCAGGTACACAAACACTGGCAGTGACTCTGGACTTCAGGCTGAATGAAGCCTCTAGGGGGCTGGACTTAAAAGGACTGCAATAGCAAAGTCAAAGGCCTTAAGCCAGCATTACCAAAGACTCACTCAGTGCACAGCAAGGCCCAAGCCCCATGGAACAGCTAAAAGACCTTTTCTCCTGAGCATCGTCCTCTACCTCATCACCATCTCTATCATCTTTCATTTTTCTTTGTAGTACTGAGCAGTACCTACAGTTCTATCATACATTACTTATTTTTACTTTTGAAATTTTATTAATTTGGTACAGGGTCTCGCTATGCAGCTCAAGTTCATAGTGATACTCCTGTCTGGGCTTCTCCAGTGCAGGCATTACAGGCACACATCACCACGGCCAGTGTCAGTGGCCAGCGGCATGTCCAGGGAGCGGGGCCAGCATGGCATGTGGTACTGGGAATCAAACTTGGATCCTTGCACTTGCCCGGCAGGCACTTAGACCTCTGAGCTATTCCCCTAGCCCATGCATTGCTTTTTCTGAGACAGGGTCTTGTGCCAGGTAGTATAGTCTGGCCTTGAACTAGTGTACACAGCTCCGGCTGACCTTGAACTTTCAGTGATCCTCCTGCCTCAGTCTCCGGAGTGCTGGGATTAAAGGTGTGCACCATGCCTAGATACATATTTCTCTTGTTAACCACTTACTCTCTATCTTTGTCAAACAAGCTCCAGGAGGCCAGGGACTTCTTTGGCTTGGCCCCCCTGTTGTTTTTAGGATCTCCTAGCAGTGTCTGGTACAAAGACAGGCTTACAACACACGTATGGTAACTGTCTCTCATGTCTGCATCTGCCTGTTTTATAAGGTGTGATTATTTTCTTTTCAGGTAAATTGTGTGATTATATCCAGGGCAAAACTGTCCACAGACCATGACACCAGTACAGTAGAAGATGCTACAAGGCCATTTCTAGAAGACAAAGTTACTGTCACCCAGCATACAGCCATTCCATTTACTGTTGTTCTGGGTGTCATGAGCTTCTAAGTCAGAGAGGAGAATTTTCTGGTGTACTTATTACATACATCCTGTGACTCTAGATGGGGCTGAAAAATTGTACAGATTTTAGTGATTTAGCTGTTTCTTTACAACAAAATTTCTCAGTTTTATAAAAAGAGTCAGGGATCTGTCTTTCTCCACCCCCCTTCCCCCTCCATCCAGATACGGGTAAAGGAACAGTAATGGAATATGGAACACATTAGCTCTATCATGTGATCCACGAGTCCCTAGCAGTACTAGAGGTTCTGTTCTCCAGGATTCGCTCCTGGGCTCTCCAGTCACCCTCAGCAGAAGAGTGCCGCTCTGTGAACAGCTCCACGCAGATTGCAACACAGTCTCGGGGGCAGGACAGCCATCCAGAGACTGCTGACTTACCTCCACCTGTTGGAGGGCGTCCTCAGTGTCTCCCACCTCCGAGGTAGACACGGAGGGGTAATTGGAGTCAGATTCTAAGCTACTTTGGTTCGATGGGTTCCGCCGGTGGCCTGGGGTTTGCTGCTTAAGGAGAAAAAGATGACAATACATAATTAACTAATGTAATAACCCCTCTCAGAGCAGCAGGTCCAAGAGTCAGGACTCCTGCCTCATTTGTCAATGAGAATAGGTATTATCCTCTCTTGGAATGGGGGCTAAGTAGAGCTCTTTTCACAGAACATTCCAGTTACAATGCTTAGTTATCCACCTAGCTAACCAAAAACATGGCAATTTGGAGAGCACACAGCTCTGAAGAAAGAACTATGTTCCCTTGTCTCT